GTCTGTGCTGTGAACATCGTGTATCCTACTGTGAAACCGATACAATTTAAGCTTCACCAAAAAAAACGAGTGTCTGGCGTGATGCCTCTTCCCTAGCAGTACGGATAGTTTTCCCACTCCCTTGACCATGCGGGACACCATTAACTTGACAATCACTGTGTGTTAGTGTACGCTCTTGATATGCAACGAGGCATACATACCATAGGCACTAGTAGTCCATATTCCATTGTGCTGTGATCCAGAGAAGTTATCACCGAATGTCAAATCCCATCCAGCCTTGTTGCAGATGTTGTCCAGAGAAGTTTGGTAGACTAGGAGTGAGATATTGTAGTTTGATAGGACAACAAGATCTTTAGGCGATTCACTCACATGTTCTCTGCCTTCCAGTGGTAGGCATTGTGCTCTTGTCACCGTCGTCTGATGGTGACTGGTGGGGAGGAGATGATGTAGATAGCACATGGGAGGAAACGAGCATTGGAGGGACACTGTCTTCCACACTCATTTCCGGCAATACATGTGGTAAATCCTCTGACAGATAGACACCATCAATTGGATAAGAGGAATTGTGAGCAGAATGACATGAAGCTGACCTTTGTTGGAGATACCGGAGTGGGAAGAGTCATCGAGGCTTTCCTCCAACATTGATGACATCCAGACACTATCATGTGTGACTACAACATCGCTTTCTGGAACCTTTGGAGAGTATGAGTAAGCTCGAAAGAGACATAGGAAGGAATACAACCGTAGCAAGGATGTATTTGTTGAATTTGACTGACGGATTGAGCAACTGGTCCATCACGGTCAGTAGAAATACATTATGTGTTGGAAAGGTCATCGCCACCTCAACGGATCTTTCAGGGAAGTCATTCAAGACCACATCATCATGTTCATGGCCGCTCGATTGTCCTGCTACTGGAACATTTATCTCTCCATATGAAATAGAAGACATCAAGGGATTATCCTATGGACATAATGAATCATAACCTGGTTACAGCGAGATTGTCAAACTCACAGACAGATATTCTGGTTGATGTGATTCATTGGAACTCTGCTGCAGTAAAAATGAGCAACAAAGGCAAAGAATTTAGTAATAGCTACCATATGGGCTTCAATAATGCTGATCTGCAACTGCGTCTGCAGATAATTATTTTCGCATTATTAGCAAGCATAATTGATGGAAACATTCTCACTAATTCGTTTCCTACAATAGACCCACAAATTGTACTCCCGTTGCTTGCCCATACTGGTGCTGATATCGGAGGCGAATCATCTCCTTGATCGGAGTAAGGCACCTTGGTCCCGATAACTGGCATGTTTCCAGACTTTCCTGAAAGCTCAGATACTCGTTGCCTGAGCCAGCCTGGTAACATCCTGTTTACCCAACTCTTCTCTCTCACAGAGATGGTGAAAGCGCGAATGAATACAGCTTGATTCTCTGCTGGAGGGGGATCTACTGTTCCGATGTCTTGAGGGTAAACCCTACTGTTGGCCCATTGATTCGTACTCCAAGATGACCTCAACGCTATCCGACCTTCTGCGAGACCTCCCACAACGAACTTGATAGAAAATTGGTGAATACCCGAAGGCTTGGACATTGCGGCTGACCCCCACGCCATTGTCTTGTCGCATCCGGTGACGAAGCAAAGAGAGCCGTTTGGCACCTCTCGACGAAGGTTAGGGCCGTTGATATATTCGTACCATTCGTGTGCGTGCTCAACAGCGTAGTTCCTCATGGACGATAGATTTTTACGATCGAATCGTGTAGCGCCCTGAGGGAGCACTAGGATTGCTGCTTCGTCTTTGGATGTTGAAAATTCGAATTCGGCTCCCCCGCCTGCAATTGAACTAAACTAAGATGAGTATTATATCCAAATGATACATGCTTAGGAACGCACGGTACTTCGGCCGACGCGCCCAGAGCCACTGAATTGATAGAGACATCAGAGCTTGTAATAGATGCGTTTCTTGGATGTTGGAAAAATATAATGCGAGTGGGAGAGGAATCGGACTCTGTCCGTAGGGGTAAAAAGCCAGGAGGGACTCCGCCTGAATTAACAGGATGGTCAGCTTCGAGAAAGGCGTTGAAAATGAAGTCGAATCCTCCGTCGTTTCTAATAATCCCAACATCACCCACGCAGATGCCCTTCTCAAAATAGGCTGAGGGGAGGCTATAATCTGGCTCCGGGATCCACAGAGGGTAACCATGACCTTGAGAAAGCAGTAGCTTGGTGTATAGGACATGAGCGTGCTGTTCAGGCATTACGTGTAGTGGGAAAGGTAAGGTTGATATCTATATATCAATATTTAACAGGTGGACAACAGCACACCATACAGCACACCGAATTGCTTATGTTAGGGGATATCGCAATGAACAGCCATTGTCGTCCCACGCCACAATCCGGCTGAGCTTCCATCTGGTTGAATTGCCGTCGGCCGCCTTTCGCCTCTAAAGTGCCATGCAAGGTGATAAGTTGCAATTCCACTGTGTTCCTAGCTGCCGTACCTCTATGAGTGCTCCATTTCCAGTCAGATGCGTGCTGGGAGAAGTCTAAGATGGTATGAATGCACATGGTCTAACGACCGGTCAATAACAGCGCGCTGTGAGCGAGGCGCACTACCCGAGAGTGTCACTTAAATACCTGGATCAGAATTTTGGGTAGTAGATACACTTGTAATGCCTTACGTCGCTCGTCGGTGGCAGGGATGCGCCACCTAGGGAAGTCGACCATCGGTGTGGCCGAGATGACTGGCACAAAATGTATAGTAAGAATCCACGAACTATAAGGAAGAGGACGGAATGGATCTCACAACCGAAGGCAGGGGATACGACAAGGAACTTCCACTATATGATAGTTAGGTGTGACCGGCACATCGAAGGTGTTGAAATACCCTAATAATCGCGTCCAGGCACTAGATGATACCAATCAGACTCCAGTCCATCCAGATTGTGGTAACAGTCTAGCTTCTTCCTATAAATATGCCAGAAAAAGACCCCAAGAAACCGAATCATGAAGTTATGGCATACTTTCCCCGGTTCTCAGAAGATGGTGACATCATCACATTAACAACTTGTGGTACTACTCAATGTTCATCCCTGTTTAACAAATATCTCAGTCAAAGCTTTCCATCACGAAGTGCACTTCTTTCTCTTACCTTGGCAGCTTGAACTTCGTGCCCGATTTTACGCATGCAAAGTAGACCTCGATATATCCCGAATTCATAGAGGGTTCGAAAAGTTTCAGCGTTGGTAAATCGAGAAATGGTTGATAGTCTCTGGGAGAGGATGATTTCGCTTTCCACATCAAACTCTGCCTATCGAATTGAAATGAGCTTAAGGTCCTTCTCCACAGGCCGCTTTGGTATCACGCTTCTATATCTCAAGCCTGATGTGTTCTGCACATCAGTCCAAGCACTAAAACAACCGCGACCGAACAATCACCTAGAGCTTGTCACTTCACGTCTGTCGAGGATTCGTCTCACCAGGACTGTCATCTACCGACCGTTCAACCCCAGGATGCGATGGGCGAGGGTCACTACCTGAGGAGGTCTGAACCTCCGCATGAATATGCTTGAATAGTTAACACAACTCCAGAAGGCTCACATCGTCTGCAATCGGTGGCGGCGCACCTCCAGTAGACCAATCAGCTATTGGAGTAGCCGAGACGACTAAAAAGTTTTGGAGTCAGAACCTACAATCAGGGGTGGGACGGCACAGATCTCACAAGCGAGAGCGAGGGTTACGAGAAGGAGCTTCTAGTACATGATTGTTAGATTGTTAGATGAAAGATATGTCAGCTCTCTTCAACGGAGATGGGTGGAAAAACCTTGCTCCACAGCACGTATCGTGTCTAGTCTTATGCGCGAATCTGTAGAGAGGACTTCAACACAAAAACCGACTGAAAGACAAACTGAATGACGCGCTGTATAGATCACAAAAAACGCCGATCAATCTGGGTCATGGTTCTGGGGCTAAGAGAAGAGCAGGCACCGGGTTTTGAGATGCTGTTGGCTCATACAGGCTGGTCAAGTGTATACATCCAACGGAGGCTAAACGTAATGGTTTGGCGGGGTGCGTCCGGTTCTTAACGGCGCATAGGGTACCAGGAGATCTGGATACGGAATTAGCAAGACGTTCCACCAACAATCTATCGTAAGTTCTGATAATGGCGCATTACAACAGGTCAATGTAGGTCTCTAGAAAGGATTGATCGATTCGCTCAGCAGAAAGGACGTAGTTCATCAATCATCGGAATCAGAAGCACGATCATGGTATGCGTAGACCTGGGGAGCAAAGGTAGGCACCGCAAGACCAAGGACAAAAAAAACGATGAACGCACCTCTCATGCCAACCTATCGCAACGTATTTGGTTCTTCCCAATCAATCTCTGCCTTTCTCAGAGCGTTGAATCTTTCGTCAGGCTGGCGCGAGCTTGACACAGGGCAGTCATAAAATGGAGAGTAATGTAATGGAAACAACACGAACGTCTGCGACGTAAGAGGCGATGGCTGCAGCCGGTGATGCGAAAGATGTGCAGGTAGAGAGCCCCAAGCAAGTCCCAGAGGCACTCTAGCGAGACGAAAAGAGTAATCGTCTATAGACAAATCACTCGCACTAGGTCAGTCGAGGATAGAAGTAGTACACGAGTGGTGGGCAATGTAGATTGCAACTTCGGACCACTGAAGTCGGTGCAGAAGACTCGGAGTACTTCCTCTCGCATGGCTCATTTTGCGACCATGTGATCCAAACACGGCCGTATCAGTGCCATCTGGATTCGGAATGATAAAATAAAAGCCCTTGGACAAGCCGAGGATCTCGACGCAAAGGGGAATCTTATCCATTAACGGTGATGCCCTCTCTGATACAATCAGGGAGAGATGCGATGGCTTTACAAGGCCGACTCTGACGCTCGAAGCTTAAAGCTTGAAGAACAATGAACATTGAACATTGACGCTTTCTAAAGCCTAAAACTGACAAAAAGCATACAGGGGCATTATCTGAGTTCCCTCTAGCCGACTTGAACGACTGACCTTGTCATCGGCCATGAAAATACCTCAGTACTAGTGACGCGCTCTACCAACTGAGGTAAGAGGAAATCCTTGATCTCATACTGTTTGATGAGTACGTCCCGTGATGGCAGCAGGAGGTACAAAAATAACTTCAGCTACTCGACACAAATGGTAGGAGCTCGAATCGAACGAGCTCCGTGTGTGCGCCCCAACTGGACCATCACGCCATGAGATAAAACCCAAGCGGGAGAGGGATACCAGATATCCAGCCATCCAACAGTGAGTTCAGTGTAGCACAGTAATGGCGAAGTACGAACCGACAACAGATGGAATAACAATTCGCCAAAAGAACATTTTTTGAAACAGGTATAGGTATAAAACCAGTTCGCATGATTGCTCGTAGGTCAGTAGAATGTGCTCCAATGAGAGCTTGTCTAAGAAGGAAAAAAAACCCTGAGAGACGAAGAGAGCGGTGCGAACATTGACACCACGACCCAGCACATATAAGGCTGGAAAGCGGACAACGCACAAAGCAGTGATATTGGACCTAAAGCGAACAAAGGGCGAGTGGATGTAGAAAGACAGGCGAAAATAAATCCTCCTTCGCCCACGTGAGTTGAATTGGAGGATGATCGATATCGATAGGGCCATTGGCGGTAGTTCCCTCCATTGGTGCAAGAGGATATCGATTAATATCAAGTAAAAGAAGAGGCGCACATAATGGTACCACGCAGCGCTGCTTCCATCCTCCCTGGATCCCAGTCGACTTCAATCCGATCCCACTGCCAGCGCTTGCTGGATCTCCAGTCGTCAACGCTTTATGGATAACCGACACATCTGCTTGTCGCCGTGCAGCGAGCGTAGGCTTGAATTGTAGAAGCGTCTATCGCTAGTGACATCGATCTCGGTCCAAGATCCGTTGCTATGCCAGCATTCGCAGGAGTAAGAAATACAGATTGAATGCCAATGTTTAGGTGGCTGCATACACGAAATAAGCGACAAGTGCAGATAAGATAAGGTGCTACAGGTCTCGAATATGAGAATGAGAAGTCGTAAGACAACTTGCTGGCTGAGTGGTATGAACACTGTATATCAAAAGACTTGGTATTCAGTGGGGTTGCCTAAGGGGGTCTGGGAACCGTGAGGTTCGAAGTCGAGTTCGTCACAACTGCACGAAGGCTGGTGTGAAGCGGGAGATGAGAGGACGAACACGACGCGACCAGAACCCGCCTTGAGCATTAGGTAACCGGGAGGTGATGCTAACCGAATCCGGACACCAAACGCTAGGGATGGTGGGTGGGACGAGAAAAAATGGCGGAGGCGAGAGTACGCGAGAAACGACGTGGAAGCAGAGAGCAGGACGGCGCGCTAGCACGTGTTTCTACTTTCGCGTACTTATCTTATCCTTAGATAAGTGACGACGCTCGTTCCTCGTATCTTGCTTATCACGGAATGAAGGAAGTCGATACATATTATGACCGGCTCTGGATTGACAGCGAACACCACGGACCAACTATAGCATCCTCCAGATTTGATTAGCTCAATGCGAAAGGGCAGCTCAGGAACCGAGGCAAGGAAGCTGAAGAGCACAGAGTCAGCCAAACGCACACGTCACAGGAGCAACGAACGCACTACGTCCGAGTTGGGCATTCCTTCCCGCCAAGGCGTTGGTTAATCTGATTTGAACCCTTCGTGCAGTGAGGCGGATGCGGACCGAAAAGCAGGCTGCTACGTAGGGCCTGCGCCAGCGAACAGAGATTAACGATAGCCAGATATGAAAGGTGGGGTGGTGGAATGAAGATGAGAATACTTCTGTTCCCACGGTCCGCTTTGCGACCATGTGATGTGAACGCGTGTCAATTCGTTCGTTACCGGTTGTATAAAGTCTAAACTTTTCAACTTCTCCGAAATGTTTCTCTCCGGTTGCTTCTTGTCATTCGATATCTATCCCGTCCGCATTTCGCAGCAATACGATGGGTATGTTGCCAATCGTTAACTTCAATGAGGCCTTAGTACTCAAACAAATCTGGGAGCTTGAAGAACGACCGAGCGTCGATATAGACTTGTCACAACTACTTCTAAGACATCGACTCCGAAAAAAACTATGTGAGTCACAGAGGCATAAGATCAGGAATACGGACATCAGGTCGGACAAAGAAGGTGCATATACGAATCCCTCGGTCTACTTACAATCCAAAGTTGAAACAAGACGCGACTTTTACACCAAAAGTAACCATTTATGGGCACACGACCCCAGTAGCGACATCGTTCTTGAGGGTTTGATTCTCAAAAACGTGAAAACAATAATAATTGCAGGCTCAGAATTCCCTCTAGTGGACTTGAACGCTGAGACGCTCTACCAACCGAGCTAGGAGGGACTGATAATAGACTTGAGTACAAGTAATATATCTCAGAACCGTAGCAGGATAATCGAAAGATACCGCATGGAACGCTCGTCCATCGCACGAGCCGGAATCGAACTAACCCTTTGTCCAGTTCTCGATGAACCATCACGCCGTGAAATATGGCCAAGTGCCATTGATAAATCTTGTGAGCTAATACAAGTAGTAATACACTCCGTACTGCTGAACAGATGGCTCAGTACAGGGTGACAATCTACAGCAATACAAGGCGTTAAGTACGCTTTGACAGGGATATGATATTAGCGCGTAGTAAGTGGAAGAACCGAGATACCCACCTCCATGCGAGGCTGCGGCATTGAATATAGCACACGATGAACCGATACAGATATCAAATGGACTGACACGGTTGGTACTCCCATATGCCGAGATTAATGAAGGGCAGGGTGAGAAGTGAACTTAAGTATCAATAGACCCTGAGGATTGAGGGCAAGAAAAGACGCTTCTCCATCAAAGAAATTAGAAAATCCTACTTCCCCATAAAACAGGATGTTGTGAGGAGAAGAGCTGGAAGGTAATGATATCCTGAACGTCGAGGGAATTCGTAAATTTCACTGAAGATATTATCTCTAGCCTGAGCAAAGTCAGAACTCGTCATCGTTGATCAAAAAAAGAAACCCAAGGAGCGCTTGAACTCCTTCTAGCCAACTTGAACGGGCTTGAACACATTTTTAACGCAACCAAGAGGGATCGATGACATGCTGGAGTTTAATAAATAGATAATTGGGAGAAAGTGAAAAGGCCTAATATGCCAGCTCTAATGGCACAAGCTAGAATCAAAAAAGCCCTGTGCGCGATCCTGATATGCAATCATACCGTGAGATGAAGCTCAGCGCAAAGGGATTCAGCTCTCTCATCAGCTCGGCACCATATAACATGGCATGATGACACACGGACTCGTACTAATTGAGAGTAACGTATTACCTACATTGGTATAACTTTATGCGATTTTGTATGGTTTACATGCCTGTGCGCGTTCCAAGTGCATCAATATTTCTGCGTAAAGGTGCCATGCGTCTGAGTCCATATTGAATACGATACTAAATATCAAATCCATATATGGCTAGACTATCTCGGACCACAGTGAATCGAGTTGGGCAATTGAGTAAGTACAGAGGCTGAGGCAGTATGATAATGCATGCAGGCTTCCTGGAACACACACCTTCAAATGGAGTAAGACTGATGATGCTAATGAGGACATTGTTAACTCAGTGTTTCATTATCGAGTGCAGATGGCTGGAATCTTTTATCTAATTACTGCTATCATGCAAAGAGGGGGCACAGTGAATTTTGCGTGTGCATTTGCGTTCATGCGTTCGGTGCATTTGCGTTAAATCGACATGCATGTGCGTTAATTTGAGTGCATGTGCATTTTTGGGCATGCATGGGAAAAAACGCGTGGCTATGTTTGATGCATTTGCATGCATGACAGAGGTGCGTTTTATTGTATTTTTTTCTTGTTATTGTAATTTCTGTTGCTAGGCGTTGCCACAGCCGATATGACTACACGTTCCCTACAACAATGAAGCTTCCCAATGAGGAATGTACATTGACCTTTGTAAGTTCGCCCTATCATTGTTTTTCACTCCTATTCTTATTCTTTCTTACTAGGTCTTAATTACTCTCTTGAAATACAATTTTGGTTCAAATTATGTCATATTATTTTATACTTGCAAAGTTGAATGAACCATATATTAATCTAATTTATAGCTCGGAAAATTTCTGCATGCTGACAAAGTCCATGAGAACAAGGATCCTGAAGAGTTCCTCTTAAAGCCTGGGCCAGATTTCAATGAAGATGAACGGCAGGAGTGGTTCCGAGCAAGAGAAGAAGAAGACGATGTGAAGAAGCGAGCACATGGGCCAGTACCGAAGCCTCGGATGATATCCAGGAAGCATAAGGAAGTTTTGGAGCCTGGAACTGCAGAAAATTCGCTTCAGGATGGTAGTGCAAAAGTGATTGGACACCCAGCCAAGCAAGCCCAAAATAAGAAAACTTAGAGTACTGATGTCAAATATAGAAGATGCTCCTGTTCAAATAGACTGTTTTTCTGGGTGATTCTAGCGGTAACAAGTAGAATGATCTTCTATAAGCCAGAAGTAATAAGAGACACAATTATATGGTTGAACTACAGTTGAACGCATGCTAACGCACCGAACGCATGTGTCACAAATAGGTCACAGTCACCTGCATGGATGTGTTTGATCTTGAACGGATGCGTTTTTTGTCCCAACGTGTGCGTTGTGTTCAACAATGCATGCGAGAAGATTTGCGAGATGCGTTCAAGACATGTGCTGACTTATCCTTACAGAACAACATCCAGGGCATTTTCTGAGGTCCAAATGAATGCTACAAGGACCAATGACATTATAATGTGAGTTATGATATATATACATGATTGTTGTTTGGCTCGAAATGCCTCTACAGCAGTTTGATTTCACTACTAGTCAGACTGAAAAGGCTGATGAGCCTTGAGGCTCTGTGCGCTCTGAAATTGCGGACACACATAACAATTTATCGATGTTCTCCCATGCATGGCCTTTTAGTAAACCAATCGTTGCAAGGCCAGTGCAGGTCGAATCGTAGCAAACTACTCAATGCACACGGCTACGCGAACCTATGATGCACTCCGCGAACCGATAATTAAATAAACATATCCAGGTCA